ATCCTTCCCCAACCAACCTCTTTATCCTGTTTGGTGAACACTTTTCACAATGAATTGGTCTTGGACTTGTCAAGTGCTTTTCTTGTGTGTATTGATATGACCATATTGCTTTTCCTTCCTAGCCTGTTGATGTGATAGAATTATTTTAAGTGATTTTCTATTGACAATCAGCCTTTCACACCTGGGATGGCCTACTTCCTTACGGCGTATAATTTTTCATACATGATTGGGCTCTATTTGCTAGTATCTTGTTAAAGATTTTCGCATCTCAGTTCATGAAATGGTGGTCTCTTGTTTTCCTTACGTTTATCTGGCAGGTAGCTGTCCATTAAATCACTTTATACATAAGAATGGTCCTCCAGCAAGAAGAGGGTGGGGGAAGCCTAAGACATCAGTTGTGTTTTGCTGGCTTTCTTAATGACAGACATAACAAAAGCCTCTCTGTATCTTCTGGAAGAGATGGCACTTAATTTGTTCCTTGAGTATTTGGTAGAAGTTACATAAAAATTAGAGTTTCTGAAGGGAACTGGATGATGGCTGAGACAGTGGAACGAAAGAACTAGATTTTCCACATTTCACTTTTCAGTATCACTCGGTATGTTTCAAATTACAACACAAGAATATAAATAAAAACCTTCAAATTTTCTGTTTGAACACGAAAGTCATGGAATGGAATTACCAAGTATTTGAGCTTTCTGAAAATTAGATTGCAAACCCCATGGTTATCTGAAATCACAAAGCTCTATTTTAAAATAAGGAACTAGGATTCAATCAATCTGTGTTTTAAATGAATGCTGAAAGTGCCTCAAACATGTGTCTCTGTCACTGAACATAGTAGTGTGTGTGTGTGTGTGTGTGTGTGTGTGTGTTTAACCAGGAAGAGGGAAAGCTCTTTGGTCTTAATCCAGGTTTCAGGTGAGGCTATATGTAAAGACTTGAAACAGGGCCAGCTCTCGGCGGGGCTTCCGAGAGCTAGCCATCCAAGACATTTTATTTTGCTTTCCCCATTGAGAGCTGGTGAGCACCTCTTTATCGATACCTGTACTGACAACTGAACTCCAAATCTAATGTGTCTATTCTAATGAGATCCTACCCACTCTCAGCACCACCCCTTTATGACTCAATTTCCATGCAGGATGCCAAACTCTACAGACTCTGCTGCAACCAGAACACCCAAAGGAGACTGGCTAAGAAAGTGGCAGGCAGGTGTTCATCTGCAGCACATAGAACAAGACCAAGGTATTCATCTGCAGCACATAGAACAAGACCAAGTTTCTTTCTCCAAGTCTGTCTCTCCCTATTACTGTTCTCTAAGTTACTATTAAGGTAATTCGGTAATTTGAGACTCTTTACAAATGAAAGTATTTTCAATTATTTAAAAACACTCTCCTATTAGAAATGGGAAGGTGACCTAGAATTCAGCCTCATTAGCATATTCATTAATAATTACATGAGTAGATACTATCTCTGTGCCTTGTAATTCTGCTCTATACACTGGGATCTCTCTGCCTGAGGTACTTCCCTACTCTGTTGATTTGCTAATAACATGCAAAAGTGTACATTCAACTCTCTCCTAGGACCACTAAGTGAAGATGTCGGTAGTGAACGCGAGCCTTTTAAAGGAGTCTTTACGTTTGATCACCATCATTAACATATTCATTCAAAATAAAGCACTCTGTGACTCACCGTGCACTTCATTACTAGTAAAAAGAAACAGGTCTCTTGAGAAAATGTCCTCTGTCCTACATACACGTCCTCCCATCAAAACTGAACTCAATATCCCTGGAAGGAAAGTGTCCTTGCAGAACACAAGGAAGGAAATGCTTCACCCACAACAAACAAAAGGTGATGAGATGTACGAAAACAAAACAACAGCTTTAAATTTTTTTTCCTACCTTCTCTGTGGAATGATGGCAAGCATGCCAAGCAAGACCACATCATAGAGGCCGCTCAGAGCTAGAGAGACAGCTAAGTGGTTAAAAGTGCTTGATCCTCAGCCTTCAGAAGTCCATACTTCCAATCCCAGCACCCCACCCTACCCCCACAGCTGCCCTCCAGCCCATAAGCCCGGCTTGGTTACCCATGTTCTTATAACCCCTGTGTGGTCAGGGGCAAAGACTGGAGGATCAATGGGGTCTGTTGACTGAAAACATAAACTCTCCAAGTTCAGAATGACCCTGCCTCAAAGGATAAGACAAAGAACAGAAGATGCCTGACACCCTGCAAGCAGGGGAGCATGCACACCACACACACACACACACACACACACACACACACACACACACACACACACACGTGCACACACAGCTGGGCTGTGTATTCACTTTTCTCACATCTTACACAGTGAGGCATGTATCTAACGGCCATCTATTAGCAGATCTTAAGTATCTGAGGTTCAATAAGAGAAACAGCCACCTCTAAAAGTCGAGCACTTTCCACAAGAGGCTCCTCCTTAGACAGACTGACTCTTATTTAGGTCAATAGTTCTCAACCATATCAGCTTCTATGTGGCCCTTCTGTAAAACACTTTCCAATTTCGACTGTACCACTCTGAAATGCAATGAATAATCTTCCTACAGACAATTTCAAACAAATCCACCTATCCTAAATAAAATAATAAATGGAAAGGGGAAATGAAAATAAGTTATAAAAAAAACATGTCAACATATGAAGGCTGGGGCAAAATAATTAGCAACTAGACATGACTGCATTGCAAACCTGCTTATGATGCAATGTTCCAAAACCATAAACAACTTCTAATCAAGTTGTGAACAGAACAAATCTTCCTTTAATTTATACAAAAGCAATGTAGAGAAACAGATACAAGAAAATCCAGTCTTGGTTAAAACTATGACTATAGAGTGAAAATTTCAGGCTCAGATAATTACAAATGTTACAGGAATGTCAAGCATGATATTCCTAAGCCATGAAGGACATAGGAACATTCTTTGTTCAGTGAGTCCCGCACATAGCAAAAAGTACAGCATCCCAGCCCCCATCCACCACATGTTAGTGGTTAATCCCAATTACAAACCACTAAGGGGGGAAAAAAAAAAGCTTGCTAATTTCCCCCTAGAGAGCAAACTCCCTGGACCAACCAGCTCCCACCCCATTTAGGTATGAATCACAGTATTGGAGTTCAGCTCTATTACCTATGAACTATGTGATCACTGGCTAATGAGTTAAGTTCTCTTAACCTCCGTTTCCATGGTATCAAAGAGAATCAACACTCCAGGGCTGTCTGGAGTGTCAGGATGACTCAACAACACTGTAGCAGCACAGGGTGGGTGGTTTACAACCCATGGCTTTTTGAAATAGGAACAAGGGGGCTATGTCCTGCAAACAATAACAAAAAGCATCCGTGCAGAAAAGGCAGAAATAAATAAGAGTGAAGGAAGTCCAAAATTTAAGGATAAGTTACAAGGGCCAAGGGGGGAGGGGGAAATGCAGATAATGCAGAAATGCAGGAAAATCAAGGTCAGAAAGGTAGAGAATGGGGAATAAAGCATTCAAGAAAAAAAAAATCAGTCAAAGGCACGAAAACACAGCTTGGTTCAGAGAAGAGAGGCAGGGAAAGGCAGATTAAGTAAAGGTCAGGGAGGAAGGCTGTAAAGACATTACAGGACCTTGCCCATGGAAGGGTACGAAGGACACTGAGTGTGCCAGAAAACCTGGGCTTAGATGGCAAACATGACTCCCCGATAACGCTGAATAACGGCCAAACTAAATAATTCAGAACAAACACAAATTATCATTGCAGCCCCTGAAAGAAAACCATAAACAAAGTACTAATGTAAACAAGCAAAAAGAGCCGAAGAGCAGTGAGCAGCCTGAGTTCTTTCCTTCCTGGTTCTGGGGATGGAATCCGGCAGGCCTCAGGCTCCTCCAGGGTGCTGGGATCACAACAGGCCTTCACCACCATGCCTCGCCTGCTCCTTTCTTTAATAACCAAAATTCTTCTTAATTTATAGGCCTCATGAACTAAAAGGAACTCAGGATAACCTATCCCTGTCCCCTGATACCATTCCAGGCAAATCCGAGCCCTTCCTAAACACATTAATTAGCAATACCTTACATCACCCTTGAAAAGCAGGAGGTAAGCTAGAGTATTATTAGCCTCTTTTTTATTATGGGGAAACCGGGGAACAAAAAGATTAAATTACAGTATGTCACAAAATGAGCCATCATATTTTCTAGTGCTTTAATTAAAGGCACCAAGCCCACATTACAGACTTCCCAGCTTAGTAGAACTTTTACTACCGCCTCAACCGGGGGACGAAGAGAAAAACACCTACTATGGTAACTTAAAGGTTATTTTCTCAGTCTGGTACTCGTCATCCAAAACTCAGGAGTTTAAAATTTCAGACCGTGTCAACAGTAACCTACCCCTCCCCCCCAAACACACACACACACACACACACACACACACACACACACACACACACACACACACACACACACACACACACACCGGAAAGAAAAAAAAATGAGGACACTTGTAAACAGCACCACGGATCGGAAATCCTGGGGCCACGTTTTACTCGGGCTATGTGGCAGGCAACACAGGAGCCGGCTGGTGCCGACGGAAAAGGTGCCCCAGGGGCCCCAGCGCGGCCTGGCCATCACCGCATGCCCATCACTCCAAACATGACCCCAAACGCTCTCCCTTGCCCCCCCCCCCCGCATTGCACCACGAGCCTCGCGGTACCAACCCCGGCCTGGGCTAGCTAGGCTAGGCCCTGGCTGCCGGGCTTCCGTGAGCCCCGGAGCCGCACCTAGCCAGGCACTTCCCCACCCCGGTTCCCCCGCGCCCGGCCTCCGCTCCCACGCGTTCTCACCGCCCGACCGGCGTCCCCCGACGCAGGGAAGCGAGCTAGCCGCGCAGGTCGGTGGAGCGCAGCGCCCGTCGGGGTCCCGGAGCCGCCGCCTATCAGCGGAGCGCAGGGGCGGGGCCGGCTGGGCCGCGGGGCCGCGGGCGGGGGCGGGCGGGGGACCAGGCGCCGGGCGGCTCCGGGCGCCGCGCGCACACACACACACACATACAAACACACACACACACACACACCGGGCCGGCTCCCGAGGGCGCCAGCGCGGCCCCGGGGAGCGCGAGCTGGGGGAGCGCGCGGCCTGCGGTCAGCGGCCCAGCGGCCGGAAAGATGGTGTCCTGGATGATCTCCCGAGCCGTGGTGTAAGTGACGGGGAGGGGGAAGGCGCTCGGGGCCCGGCGCTCGGGGCCGAGCACGAAGGGGCCGCGCGGCCTGCTCACCCGTGTCCGAGTCGCGGCGGGGCTCCGGGGCGGCGGCGCTGGGCTGGGAGCAGGGCGCGGGCGAGCGACGGGCACTGCTCCGTGGAGCGGCTCCCCGGCGCGCGGCGGGCGCTCTGCTCGGCTCCTCCGCTCCTCGGCTCCTCGGCTGCGCGGCGAGCGCCGCTCGGCTCCTCCTCGGCGGCTTCTCGGCTCCTCCGCTGCCCGGCGGTGCGCGCGGCGGGCTCTGCTCGGCTCCGCGGCGCGCTCCCGGCTGCGGCTCCCGCTCCCGTGGTCCGCGCTGCGCGGCACCGCCCTGCGCAGGCTCCGCCGACGCTGAGCGCGGGAGGCCGGCGGGGCTCCGGATGCGCCCGAGTCTTTGTCACCAGGTCTACCGCGTTGCGGTGTCTGTCCCCCCACCCCCCGGCGGCCGTGCGCCCCGCGGTCACGTGTAGTAGGTGGAGAGATCGGTGGTAGAGCCCTGAGTGCGGAGCCCTGCTCAGAGGGCCCGAGGTAGACAGCTAACCCAGGAAGGAGCCTGGCCTTGAAAGGTCGGCCATACCCTGACTCCGGCCCTGTTTGGGAGGAGATATTTGCGATGCAGAAGGTGCAGGTGCCTGGCCCCTTTGTTCACATCATCTTTTCACTTTATTGTGATACCAGCCAGAGCTGCGGGGTGGAAAGGGGGATGGAGGGGAGTTCAGTTGTGGTGTTTAATCCGCAGAGGTATTGGAATACACGTTAAACCGGTTCTTTGCCCGGCTTCCACCTTAGCCCTGTCCGCGCTAAAAGAAAGTCACCAAATAAACTTCAGTAATTTAGGTTGAGCCTGGGGACGAGGATTCATTATTCATGTAGGAGTAATGTCATCTGAGTACCTTAATGAAATGTTTATACGAGGTAACAGGCCTCGCTGATTAGCTTATAATTTGAAGGGAGAAAATAACATTACTTAGGTTTTTTTTTTTTTTTTTTTAACTGCGAAGGAGCTAAATTTTCTAATTTGGTTTTATTTCATTTGGAAGTGAACTAGGTAACCTAATTTGCAATGCATTCAAAATTTGTCATTTTATAAAATGCCTCAAGCTTTGAAGTCTCCGAATTTACTGTGTTCATCTAAAAACTCAAAATAAATAGTTACACCATGGATGTCTTCCAGTCGTTTTTTAGCCTTTTCCAGGAGAATCTTTGGGTTTCCACATAATCCAGGCATACTTTTTACTAAGGAAGTATAGTTGACTAGACAAGACTACCAAAAGTCCCTCAACTATTTTGCCTTAAATGCCCCATTAAAAAGCTGTACTTGTTGTTTGATCTCTTTTCCCATTTGCACTAATGGGAAATTATGGAACAGTTTGGGTGAGTTTGCATTGACCAAAGATTTTTTTTATTTTTTATTATTGAAGAGGAATATGTTCCTAGTGCTGCCTCCACCACAAAGGTCAGTACCACGTAGGAGATCTTCATGGAACAGACATTTCACATTCACAGATATCTACTGTACAGGTCACAATGTCAAGTCTTGGGAGAGTTATGCCCAGTGTAATACCCAGTGTTAGACAAGGAAGAGATTATATGTGGTTGGAGAGCCATCAAAGAAGGCAAGAGAGATTACATTCAAAATAGGCCTTAAAGAACAAACCCAATCTAGATAGCCAAAGAGGAAGAAGGATAAAAGATCTCTGGTAGGTGAAGTGTTGGAAACCAGAGCCCAGGTAGATTACGCAGGGAGCAGGGAGAGAGAAAGCACCACTGTTGTCTGAAGAGTTGGTAATCCCAGAGACTCCGTGAGTAGAAGCCGTTGGAGGAGGGTCCCTTACTGAAGAAAGTATGCACACTTGCATTGCAACCGCTGGAATTTAAGGTCTGGGGTGAAGGGGCAGCGGGAAAATGGGATGAAGAACAAAAAAGGTTATTAAAAGGTGCGTTCATCGAGAGTGAAGAAATGTATTTCCTGAGCTTTAGACCCAGCATGGTGGAAGCCCGAGTCATCTGTGTCCTTCCTTCTGCTCTTGAGTTTATCTTTACACATGGAAGCAGTCCTAATACCCACACAGACCTAGGCACATGTTCCAAACCATGAATTTATTTATGTACTATAATTTATTTAGAATTCGTGTATGTACGTCCTTCCTAGCCAACTGAAACAGCCAGCTGGTCCTAAACAAGACCTGACGGGTTTCTCAGCATGAGCCTCTCGTGGCACCACTTAAGGACAAAAGACTTATTTATTTGTTTTGGGGTGTTCTTGGGGATATGTGTCAAGGACAACCTGCAAGAATCAGTTCTTTGCTTCTACCATGTGAGTCCCAGGGACTGAACTAGGGACCTAGGCTTGGCAGCAAGTAGAGTATCCTCATCTCAAAATGATTATCGTAAGTAAGTCAACTTATTTAAATGTCACAAGAACAACAAATTAGCAGTATTTATGTGTATGTGGGTGTATGTGGGTGTATGTAGGTGTACCATGTTTCTGCTGGGTCCCTAGGAGGTCAGAATACAGTGTTATATCCCTTCCATGTGGGTGCTGAAACCAAACCCGGGTCCTCCTCTACAGGAAACATAAGTACTCTTAATCACTGAGCCAGCTCCCCAGGTTAGCAGTTCTTAAGGAATGGTAATATGAGCATACCACATAATGCTAAATTCCTATACACTGCCCATACCTCACATTCTGAACGCATGACTCACAAATTGAGGGAAATAACCCCTTTCCCCAACTTCTCTTAGTTTATGTTCTATAGCCCTGTACACAAAATCAAAACTCAGACTAACTTATCTAAAATTAAATATTAGCTCTGTCACTTACGGACAGTGACTCACCCCCATTATATTATGTATATAATGTCCATGTGCAACATGTGATGGTAGTAAATAATTAGGAAATAAAACCCCGGTATAAGTATGCTCAGCTGCTTCCTTCCTTCCTTCCTCCCTCTCTTCTCTCTCTCTTTCTATCTAATTGACTTCAAAACAAGGAATCACATACCTCCCCCCCAAATACCTACATAGGGAATTTTAGACTACTTTATGTTTAATTTTTTCCCCTCTGAGCCTGTGTTTAGATAACAGAGTTATACATAAAAAAGTTTTATTCTATAACACTTTATAGGGGATGCTGTAATGCAGGTACAGTTCTGCAATAGACATCCTTCTTATAACATCTTGAGGATTTCCTTAAGATAAACACATGACAAGTATATCTGAATCAGACTGTTATGTTTTTTATTATCATTGGTCCAAAACGGCGAATTCTTTTCCAGAAAATTATTAATGTCTTCTTGTGCAAAGCACAAGATACAGCCTGGCATCTGGGTGGTGGTGGTGCAGGCCTTTAATCCCAGCACCTGGGAGGCAGATACAGGTGGATCTCTGTGAGTTCCAGGACAGCCAGGGCTACACAGAGAAACCTTGTCTCAAAAAACCAATAAAATAAAGTAAAATAAAAGAAGAAAGAAAGATGCAGCCTAGCATACTTATACTGGTGTTTTGTTTCCTAATTATTTATATTAATTCTTACTATGCAAACAACCTGCATGTCTGATCACTTGCCTTTAGGGGCTTCTTTGTCTTCCCTAAGCTCCTTACTGGATAGGGAAACTCGGACTGTTTCATACTGGATAGAAATATGTTTTAATCCAATTTTATTTCTCTTTCAGATGTTATTTTTAGTTACATAGGTCATCGTTTTAGTGTGGTGTATGTGTGTGCGGTGAATATGTACGTGTGCACCTGTGTGGGCAGGGCTGTGTGTATGTGGAGCCAGGGGTTAACGGCAGGTGTTTTCCTCTGTTGCTCTCCCCTTTATTATTTGAGACAGGGAGATTCTCTCTGAGCCTGGAGCTCACCAGCTGGATAGCCTGGCTGGTCAGCAGACCTCTGAGATCCATCCTCCTGTCTCTGCGCCCAAGCACTAGAGCCGGGGTGCCTCTGCCATGCCCAGATGTTTCCATGGGTGCTGGAGATCTGAGCTCAGGTCCTCGTGCTTGCAGAGTAGACACTTTACCCCCTGAGCCCTCTCCCCGCCCTTTAAGAACATTTCCATTTGTTTTTATTTGTTCTTGCTTATTTGGGCAGTACTGTGGATCAAACCCAGGACCTGGTGCATACTAGTCAAACGTTCTAACACTGAACTACAGCCCCAGCTCTTAAACAACTTGATCTTTTTTCTTTTTTTTTTTACTTTGTGATTTCTTTATATAAATCCAGAAGTTTGATAAGTACTCTTTGCTCATACAGAATTGAATTGTGGAGAGCTCTCTGTGTCCTTCTTACATGAGTAAGGCATTTTTGTTTTTTTGTTTCACCATGATCGCATCATCTGGCAGTAGTCCTAAAAGTCCCCTCTTCTTCCTTTAACTCTTTGTTCTAGTTTCGTTTCTGCTGCTGTGACAAATATCCCCGACAAAAAGCAGCTTAGGGGGGAAGAGTTTACTGTGACTCACAGTTGCAGCTGACAGCCCATCCTTGCAGGGACGTGAAGGCGGGAACTTGAAGCATCCGATCCACCGCTGGGGGTGGGGGTTGGTCCTCCCTTCTTTTCCTCCGGCTTTCTCCTCTCTTATACAGCTCAGGACCTAGGGAATGGTGCCACCCACGGTGGACTGGGTCTTCTTACATCAGTTAGCAATCATGACTGTTTCCCCCCATAGACATATCCACAGGCCAACCTGATGTAGATCATGCCTCATTAAGACTCTTCCCAAGTGATTTTAGGTTGGGCCAAGTTGACGGTTAAAGCTAACCATCATTATTGATCATCTTTATTTATGTTTATTTAATGGACGTATCTTTGGAGACAACGTTGTACACCTAAAAACTGTGTACAAACAAAAAAAAGGCGTCTCATCTACCGTATTAACTGGCTGTGAAGTTTTTTGTCTCCTTATTTAGAATTAGTAAAATATATTTACCACTCATGCTGTTATATTTGCAAAGACCACTGT